GTTTTTGTGTTTTTTTTTTTTTTTTTTTTTTTTTTTTTTTTTTTTTTTTTTTTAGGTAGAAAGTGTCTTTGTTTTAGTTTTGGATTGGAAAATATGTTGATAAAAAATATCATGAGGTTGTGTCTTTAGGGCATGTAGTAAACATTTTACTACAAAGAAGTTAGAAAAGAGACTATTTCAGAGATAGTGATATGTACCCTTGAGTAGTTACAGACATCCTAGGTGTTTTTATTCCTTGTAGAAGCAGGTGTAGAAATTGAAAAACAAAAAAGGACCCGTCAGCATTGTTAGTTATGAGAAGTTTAACTGTTTCAGACACTTACTTTGTTTATTGTTGTATGTAATCTTGTTCAGGTAACGTACCATGTGGAATGTTAAATATGTGTGTTTTAACTTATGTATTCAAGTCATACTAAAAAACATACATACTGTGTCAGTGTACATGGTGTCTGCATTGTGATTCAACTAATTAAGTTATTATGTATTAATTCAAGCTCACAGTTGCTGCTAACATACATTTTCACACAAATAATATGTATGTGAGGTGGTTGAGTTACCTATCAAGTTCAAGTTTTGTAAATAATTGAAATTAATTTTAATATGTTTCTTGGCTATTTATTTAATGTGAAGTTAAAAAGAAAAGAGAGGCGGTAAATAAACTTTGAACATGGTTAAGAATCGAGCGTTTTGCATATATGGTTTCTCACTTTTATATTGAGAATAAAATTAAATATTCTACATTTAAAAAGAAATACACATATGCATACATCTACTGCTAATGTTAATTTTTGTCATTTAATTCTGGATTGAAATGTGTAATTCTAAGGCAGTGATTCATGGTTTTGATGTTCATTAGTTTTTTGCTGTATTAGCATAAGTGGGATAAACTGAAGATAGCAATGTTTATAAGCATTTTGTGTATGCATATCATTTATTTAGTTTCTTAATGTGCCGGGTTGTTTTTTCTTTGTTAGATCTGTCAAGTGACCTATTGCAAATTTTAAATTACTTAGGATAAGAAAACATGCAATATAAGTAAGTGTATTATGGGAGTGGATGGGGTCAAATATATCAACAGCAAGTGAACACATTGTTTATTGAAAGAAAAACTGCACTCTGCAAGGGATTTTTGTCTTTATTTACTGATGATGGACATGGACTTTGAATGCAGAATTGTTTGTCAGATACAATATTTATAGGTGTTTTATTATCCAAGGGTAGTATTTTAAATGCAGAATAGAACCCAATTAGCAGAAAGGTACTAAAAATGTTTAAAAGTAAAATAAAAACTGGTTTGCTTGCAGGTTTTATTTTAGGGTATTACAGTTTGATAGTTCTTTCTTTCACTCATTAATGTTGTTACAACCTGTTACAGTAGTAGTTGAGATAAAATTAGCCAAACAGGCTTTTCTAACAACAGAGCTTCTATTTAAAGATTAATCATTTATTATAAAAAGTTTGATTGAAGAACTTGGTTGAGTAAACTGACATTCTAATAAAGGTCCAGAAAAAGTGAAAATTGTTTGGTAACAGGCACAAACCATCCAACAATAAAGCATTGTCATTTGTTCACAACTTGTTTTTATATGAAATGACATACTAATACAATAAAGGAAAAACTGTAATGGCAACAATAAAGGGTTTGTTGACTGCACTACGAATTTGACACATTGCCTAATTTTTATGTACAGACACGTGTCTGTACAAATAGCCGTCACCAGCGTCTGTCGTCGTCGTCGCCGTCGGCGTGCACTTTTACCGATAACTTAATAAGTGGAAAACCTTTTGTCTTGAAACTTACAGAACTGATGAATATTCATAATATGCAGGTGAAGTTCGAAAATCAGCATGATCGGGCCATTTTTAGGGAAGTTATGCTGTTTTTTCCCTTTTTTCAGCATTTATGCAACACAGATAACACGATAAGTGAAAAAACATTTTACCTTTTGGCTTGAAACTTACAGAACTGATGAATATTCATAATACGCAAGTCAAGTTAAAAAATCAGCATGATCGGGCCATTTATATGGAAGTTGTGCTGTTTTCTCACTTTTTATGTACAGACACTGATGTGTCTGTACATATAGCCATCACCTGCGTCTGTCGTCGCTGTGCATTTTTAACGATAACACGATAAGTGGAAAACCGTTTTTTCTTTTGGTTTGAAACTTACAGAATTGATGAATATTCATAATACGCAGGTCAAATTCGAAAATCAGCATGATCGGGCAATTTTTATGGAAGTTATGCAGTTTTTTTTTTGTTTTGTTTTGTTTTGTTTTGTTTTGTTTTTTACTATTTTCAGCATTGTTATCACACAGATAAAAAAATGTTTTTCCTTTTGGATTGAAACGTACAGAACTGATTAACGTTCATAATACGTAGGTAAAGTTTGAAAATCAGCTTGATTGGACTATTTTTACAAAAGTTATGCTCTTTTTGTTTTTCTTTATTCAGCATATATGCAACACTTATAACGCATTTTAAGGAAAACCAATTAGCCTTTTGTCTTGCAACTCACAAGAGTGATCAGTCTGACTAGTATACAGATCAAGTTTGCTAATAAGCTTGATCAGTCAAGTTTTGATGAAGTTATTAGCCTTTTTTGTATATGTGTTTTTCTTCAGATTTAATCCTAAGGCATGTTAACAGTCTCATGGAACTAATTAGATATGTAAAAGTGTTGTTTTTATATTTTCTGCTTCTTAACAATATTGTTATTTGATTTTTAAACATTAT